TCGTATTCGTCATCATCATCGTCATGCAGTGGAACTAGACAAGTGGCCATTACGGAAAGCAAACGCGAATTTTAAAGTTTAAATATAAGCTAAATCTTGCTTGTTCGTATGAAGCTTGTCAATTTACAATAGGTAATTTAATTGGTTCATTGCTTATTTTTAAGTTTCAAAAGCGTTATCTTTCAAACGAACGAAATAATGCCCTTGTATATGCTCCCGGATAAAACAACTCTCTCTGTCTTTTATTGTTAGCAGGGCATAGCGGATTTGCCGCTCGAATTGGAGCGCACGTCTGCGGAAGTAACCTTTACCTTACAGAAGATCAGTGTAACTTTATGATAATATACCTTTTGATGGTGATGATGATGGTTTTCTGTCGGGGTGGGGAATTGGGTCAGGGTAGGCAATGATGCGAATGATAGCTTTGGTATAGCAAGCGTCTATAGGCTATGGTGGCCGCTTACCATTAGAAATTAACATAAAAAAAACTCTCCGATGTACCTTTAGGAATCAAAATAAAATTACTTTTTTTGACAGCAGTTAATAATTTAAAGATACCATTTCCATTTCATGACGAAAAAAACTAAATTTGCTTTACTTATGAAAATGTATAGTTACTTTAAGGTTTATCCGTACGTTCTGTACTAATAACTTAAGCTTAATTGGTGCGAATTAAGTTAAATTAGTTTCATTATCATATTTGCGTTACACAGAATCTGTCATACGTAATGTAATAACGAAATCACTATAGCGCTAAAGACACATTAAAAATCATTGAAATAGTGTTATTAAATAAAAACACAATTATGCTTTCTACCTCTATTCGACTTTAAACAATCATATACAACACATTATGAGTTATCAAATATAGCGGATGTTACTCAAAGATAATGTAGTATTTTTAATTATTACTTAGTAAAAAACAAGAATATATTTTTAGCATCTGTAGAAGCGGATAATAGTAGCGATATACGGGAGAGGGACGGGATCAAACCATCGAGCAATAAAAATAATTATTTAATAATAAAACTACATACTTGGTCTTTAATTATATATAATAGTAATTTAATAGTGCTACTAAGCACTTCACTTCTCATTTTTTTTTATTCTTTAAGTGGCGTTAACATTATCACTATTAGCCACGTCCTACTATCATCTTGAAATAATTTGACTTTTAATTGAGATTATGTGCTAGTTTCTCTTCCTCATGTGTGAAAAAGAAAAACTTACTCTTCTCGATAGCATGCAAAGCTGGGGCAGATCGTATGTATTGAAGCACGCCATCTGTCTCATCACAGATGATATAATCATGATTGTACACATAAATATATTGTTTAAATTGGCATTCCTGAAGAATCATGTGCATACCTGCAGTATTTGTTACTTGTTTTTATGGTTTCTCAGATGTTTTTCAATAATCCTTATGTCTACTTAATAAATAAATTCATGAACAATATAAGTGTCTTCAAAGTCCTTTGTGAAATAACGCCAGCAAGGAGGATCACGCAGTCGACGTGACCTTCACTATCATTGATGCATAGTGTGGACTCCGAATCTTCATGAAGAAATATTAAGGAAGTCACCACCATTGCAACTGACTGCTCAGTGATCCAGTGAAATATTTTTTGAAGATATTAATGTTATAAGTTAATCTTAAAACTATACATACTTTTAAAGTTCAAATGGTGAATGTAACGCCACCTTAGTGATGAATAAACCCAGTATGAGGTAAATAAATGTGTTTCAGTTGTTCATCATCAACAGCCTATCCTAGTCCACTGCTGGACATAGGCCTCTCCAATGGTACGCCACTCAGATCGATTTTACTCGCATCCAGCTCCTGCCAGCCACCTTGTGCAAATCTTCACTCCACCGTGCCTGAGGACGTCCTACACTACGCTTGCCTAGACGCGGTCTCCACTCCAGAACTCGTCTACCCCAACGGTTATCGGTTCTTCGGCAAATATGGCCAGCCCACTGCCACTTCATCTTACTAATCCGGTGGGCTATGTCGATAACTCTGGTTCTCTATCGGATTACCTCATTTCTGATGCGATCCTTCAGAGAAACAGTTGTTATCACAGGAAAATCACACCCTAAGATCTTTTTACATATTCATGCAATCCGATTTAGCCAGTCGGAAAGTAACAATCCATGATATAGTATGATAAGTTTATAAACATATGGATTTTTATAAACTCATCATCTGGGAACAAATATTTGTGCTAATCACACAAGGCTTCGCTACCGTTTTCCACAGGTACATACACATAGGTCACCCACTAAATTACATACACATAATCTCAAAATATATGATGTATAATTTATGATATTCTATATGAATAATGCAACCAAGTAATATGCAGCTTATATTAAATTTATATTATTTAGCTATATATAAAGAAAAACATACATGACTATAAAATTTGTCCCAAAGTAGTAGACGTACGTGGTATGAACATAGTGTATTGAATGCCAGCAACTGTTAGTTTGCAAGTGATGTAAAACCACTAAAATATATCAAAATAAATCGAAAGATTTTTAATTTAGTAAAATTTTCTTAAGATTATTCCAAATCAATCTAGTTTTTTTTGTGTTTTGTTTTACAATGAAATGTTTTACGCTACAATAAATTTATCTATGTCACTATTAATGTTTTCTGCTAAGGAATTTTCAATAGGTAAGAAATTTTCTTTAACCGAAGTTGAACAACTATTACTCTTAAACTTAAAAATCTATTTTAACCGTTATAGGTTTCCTCAAAAGTTCATAAAAATCACTATTATCATGATTTTTCCAGGTTTTTCAAGCCAATAGTTTAGCTTTTAAAGGGGGGGGGGGGGGCTACTTGAATAAACATTAGCACTTTAAAGTTCAATAGTTCGCAACCCGATCCCTAAATCGAAAAATAGTTTTCGGTTTGCATTGCACCGACTCCAAATATTAGGCCAGAGCAACATCAAATTTGTAGTTAATATAGAAGTCTCGCCTGCAATCGTTCCATGCATCCATTATAAACTCCAAAAATTAAGAGGTTAATTTCTGGGTTGTAGTATTGCACTGTTTAATAAAGTTCCCCAAGATCGGATTGAGCTTCCTCTGACCAAATTTAAATCACAGATCAAGAATACTCTTATAAGTAAGGGCCATTATAAAGTTGATGTTTATCTTAATAATCGTAATGCATGGACATAGTGTTTCTTGAAATGTGATGGTACATTTCATAACAATAATGTGGTATGTGAAGCAGCTTCTTATACACCTACTAAAAATGTAACGCTCACTTTCACAAGTGCTTGTAACAGCCTAGACTGATTAAATGATTTTAGATTTTGATTTGGATTGAATCTCTCTTTCAGATTTCGTAAAACAACCAAACACGTTATGTGTACAGTTTGTATTTTAGGAGTTCCGTTGTTTTTATCGAAAAGTTTTCATCAAATCTTAACCAAATTATTATACCGTCTCGCTGACAAACTCTTTTAACCAAAAAAAGAACCAATAATATCAGTCAAAAAACCACGTAGATATGCGTGAACAACAATAAAAAAAAACGAATTGAAAACCTCATTTTTGAAGTCCGTTCAAAATAGAAATGTAAAGACATGTAAATAGATAATAAGGTACTTAAGTATATGTTTTTTTCGCGTAATAACAAATACCTACATTTTATTAATATTCATCGAATGTCTAGCGAATTAGAACCTTTAATTTCCATTTCATTTCAGCTTAAGGCAAAATTGTTGCTGAAAACGTTGCACCCATATAAATATATGGGATAAATAACTTATTATTATTACAAAAAGAAAATTGCAATACTTAACTTCCCTCGCTCTGTCAATTCGAACTTTCCATACCTACTTTAAACTCAACTGTACATCGAATTTAAGAGAATCCGAACACATCATGTGTGCTAGTTGCAGATTGTACGGTATTCTGAGCACGCGTCTTATGCCACGTGACAGTATTATTTCAAATTCAAAGGGTAAAAAGCAGAGGCTGTATTAAAAAGGATGGCTCGCCTGTAATGGAAGCTCGGCACGGAATGACTGTACTTCACGGCAATTGGCGGCCGCCTCGGGAGACGACCAAGCAAATAAAATCTTGCCATATTTTTATCTATATGCCTACGACATAAAGGCTGTTTTCCTTGGTATCGCCGTAACTCACAATTTTGTTCGACAATACTCTTTGGAACTAACCAATGTTGAATACGAAAAACGCCTAAGTGATATAGTATGGACTCCGAATATTGTTAGTAACAACTTCTTTTCAAATTTCAGAGGAGGCATCTGCATTTTACTAAGATTTGAATAATTTTCTCGTTTGAATATTAACATGTTAGATTTTCAGTAAAAAGCACTCTGTGCTTTAGTTGTACCCGAGGGTATATAATCTACAAAGTATTTGAGCGTAGCGAATATTCTAAAAGAAGATCGACCAATAGCTGATTTGCATCAGCGTTTCATTTATTATTACTAACTTTATTTCATGAAAGGTTTTGAAAGACTTATTTTAATACCTTACAGGTAAAAAAGTTGGGATATTTTATAAGCTTATATCTAATATATCATATTTCCATTTTCTTTTAAGTTTCGGGTTTCAAATGCTGTTTAATAATTTTTCAATTGCACGTTAGAATTGAGTACAGTATAAGTATTAAGTATCCCTTACTTTTAGGTGCTTATGTTTTTATGAAGTTTGTTTTAATTTATAGTTTGTATTTTTACAGTATGAGACAGCAATTTAAATGCAGATTCAATTCAATTCAATTCTTAATAGCATATCCCCAATGTACAAAAAGATGTTAAATATGACAAAATACGATTATTATGGACCCTGTCGGGCACGCAACTAAATGAGAGATAGATAGAAGAGATGAGTTGCTTTCATTCAAATTTCTATGTTAGTTTATAGATTGAAAGAATTAGGTACTGAATGTCACTATAGTTAATTCATATATTATTTAAGTGAGGAAAATTAATTTCATCTATATAAACAAACAATCAATTAATAGGCGAGCCACTAGCAAAAAATAAAATAAAAATAATATTTGTTAAATTTCGATGTCAAGTTCAATAATATTTATGTATGTTTGTTAAATTTCAATGTCAAGTTCAATAATATTTATGTATGTATGTTTGTGTGTATAATTGTATATGTCATTTATGTGTATCATTTTATTGTCATTTTGTACATGAAAGTCGCTATTTACTTAAGATTGTCATTCAAATAATCATTAATACTATAGTAGCACTTCTCGATTAATAACAGTTTTAATTTTTTTATAAATAGAATGTCATTAGTTTCGTTTCTTAATGTCTCTGGTAAATGGTTATATATGATTATAGAAAAGTTAAAGGTACTTGTTAAGTTTAGCTTGAGGCGTGAAGTTGACAGTACTAATTTGTTTTTACATCGCAAGGTATTATACTTCATATGTAAATTCTCTCGTTTAGTATATAATTGGCTATTTTTCTTTATAAATTTGCATATTTCTAGTATGTATAAACAAGGCAGGGGAATTATCTTATACTTTTGAAAGTACGGTCTACAGCTTTCGGTATTGTCTATAATTGCAATAATACGAAGTAGTTTTTTCTGCAATATAAATGAAGTGGGTGCGTCCGTGCTATTTCCCCACAAGATGATGCCATAGTTCAGCCAAGAATGCGCATATGCGTAGTAAGTTACAATTGCCGTTTCCACCTTAGTAGTGTTTTTAACTTCACGAAGTGCATAAGAAAAACTCGATAATTTAGATTTTATTTTCCTTACATGTGCTTTCCAGTTAATATGCGTGTCTATGACTAAACCTAATAAAGAAAATTCCTTAACACAATCTAAAGTTTTGCCCATGTAATTTATTGACAATTTTAATTCTTTCTTTTGATGCGGGTGGAAGGTCATTATTTTTGTTTTAGCTATGTTTATTTCAAGGTTATGGTCATTTAACCAGTCAGAAGTTTGGTTAAAAAATTATTGTGATAAAAGTAAGTAAATTAAGTTAGTAAGTACCTAAGTAGGTATTAAATCTGAAATTGTGTGACTTTATGAATCATCTCAATTCAAAAGAACAGTTTTAGATTATAGTTTTAAACTTAGACCCAACTAACAGTAACATCAGGATAGGTGATTTGGTGTTCCTTGTAAACAAAAAAGGTTATTTATATTATATAAGGTATTATATTAATGCACTTACTGGACCTGGTTGTGGTATGATTTAACTAAATCCAAAACTGCATTTGTTAGCAGCAGGTATGTCATCATGCTCCTTACATAAAATTTTGTTAAATTCAGTTTTAAAATAGAATCGTTTCAGAAGAGGGCTCATTCTAATGAAAAATAATGTAAATCTGAAGAAAACCTTACTTTGAAAAAATTTGCAGTTGACCGCTTTAAATTAAAAAATTATATAAACTGCAAAATTATATCAATTATATTATGAATGCTGAGGAACATTTGCAGGATTTTCAGTAAGTACATTTAATAAAATTTATTCTATCCTTTACCTTGCAGAATATAATATAACCACAGAAAAATTAAACTATTATTTTGTATTGATTGATTTGGGATACACAGTAATTGTTCATCTGCAGAGAAGTATGGAACGGCGTATGCTCGGCATCAGCCTGCGTGACAGAATAAGGAACACGATCATTAGAAGCAAAACTCGAGTGATTGATATTGGATACCGGGTCGCAAAGCTAAAATGGTCGTGGGCCGTGCATCTGTGCCGCCGAAATGATGGTAGATGGAGCAAAAGCGTTCTGCAGTGGAGACCCCGTGAGGCCAAACGGAGCGTAGGGAGACCTCCAGCCAGATGGTCCGATGACATCCGTGACTCCGCAGGACATCTATGGCACCAACGGGCCTCAGACCGTGCCAGGTGGAGACAAATTGGAGAGGCATATGCCCAACGGTGGGCAAATTAATGCTGTGAAGTAAGTATTTTGATTGCTATCGCGTACAGTATAAATTCTTTGCGAGGAAGAGAATTGCAAAAAGCAAAAGCTCTTTAACCAAACAAGTAAAAAGAGAAAAAAGAAACACCAAGTAAAAGGTATTGAAATTTGAATTCCCCTTTGATTGCTGCAAATTTCCTTTGCTTTGATTCACCTCTCCGGGACAAGCTAATAAAACGTACATGCCTTCACAAAAGATAGCGCACAATGGACGCACGAAATGGCCGCATTTAGTTGCTTCCGATACCGGATGTAGTCAATTGCGGCGTCATGGTGCAGCTATGACAGTCCAGTTCAGATCTGCTGGCTTTTGTCTGTCCCGTCCTTCATTCTTTTTTGGTGGGTAATGTTTTCTGTATTTTCATGTTAAGTAAATGGTAAATATAATAAATATGTCTTAAACTAAAATATCTTAAAATTTTCCAAACGGCATATATTATTAGCATATAAATATCAGCACAGCTAAAGCACATGCCTTTGCACTGATTGAATGGAATAAAGATAATGGGCCATGACCCACCACGCGGTCTCAGTGCGGATTAGTGGGTGCTAATTAAACATCCACAATCGCAGCCTGAAATCGTTATAGATACTGCGCCATCGAGCTCCTGGTTATGTTACCAGGAGCTCGATTAACGGAATATAGTATTTTTTTTTACTAAAATTACTTTCTTTCTTCCTCTGTAAGTTGATGTTATTCCAGTTTTCTTTGAGCCCATCGTAATTTAACAAATTAAAATAGAATTTATCATTGTGAATTTGTGATTCGTAAACTGTTATTAATAATCTTTTTTTAAGTTTGGTAAACTGTTGATTCACCGGGATTTGAATAAATGAAATAAAATATAATTAAATGAAATAATTATATTTATTTTCATTTATTCAAAATAAATGAAATAAAATATAATCCCTTTTAGTATCTTATTAATTTGTTTTCCGTCCTGGCACGTGTCTGCTCCACTAAAACACCGAACACGCTAATTCCTGAGTTATATTCTATCAATAACGGAAAGGAAAGAGGACCAAGAAATGCACAGTGAATGGCAGAAAAAAAATGAGAAGCATGCTTGACATGATCAACGAATTCGTGAGATTTTATTCCAAGCATATCGAGAGTGAGATTATCTTGCAAAAATGAGTATTACAGCCTTCGGGGACTAATCTTTGTATCGGAAAGCGAATATCTTGCTCGACTTATCTCAAGTGAGTCACTCGAAGTATATCTTGAGTCGTGTTTTCGGGATTATCTCAGTATCTACTCAATGGTTACTTCTTAATCCTCATGATAGCCTTCTGTTTATTTGGAAACCGAAAGCTCCAAAGAAACTATTAGGCAAGTCGTAAATACAAAACCATTGAATTCATTCTGATTCAATTTAAACGCTTAACAGGCGCATCACAATGGCACGTGTTTATTAAATTTTATTTTACATTATTAAGTTATAGGTGATTTGTAATTAAAAAATCATTCTGAATTTTTGTAATTACTTTTGATCGATTGCCAAATAATTAGTATTTTTTACTTAGTCGTAATGTTTGATAGAATTATTCCCAACACTAACTTTTCTGTACAATACTACCTAACCAGCAGCGCTTCTTGCTGACTCTCCATTATCTGACACAGTAGCATACGGACGTGTTTACAAATTTATTTATTTTAACTGTTGAATCATAAGTCATAACCAGATTAACTAGTCTGTGTGTGCCAAGGAAATATATTTAGACCAACCGAATGAAGTGTCTGTGTTAACTATCAACTACCTAAATCCACAGTCCGCTAACTACAAGCATAACAATGTTCTAATTTACTTTTTTGTTCATTTTATCTATCCATCCATTTGAAGGTACCTACCACAAATATATACAAAAACTATTAATACTCTGCCAAACTTTAAGTTTGAAGAGCTCCATGGCGCAAAGTGGTTAGCGCGTTCTTCTGCGATCGTTAAAGTTAAGCAAACTTTCGCAGTGGTCGGTTATTGGATGGGTGACCATAAATTTACTATCTCGAGCTCCTCCGTGCTTCGGAAGGCACGTTAAACAGTTGGTCCCGGCAGCATCTGAAGTCATTAGCACTCTCTAATCCGCATTGGGCCCGCATAGTGGATCAGGGCCTAATCTCCCTATTTCATCTATAGGGAAGCACTGTGCCTCTAAGTTTTTTTAAAATATTTTTCATATGGGGATTATTATCTTCTAAAAGCAAGAGATTCACGTTTAATTGTTAACATATACATTATTTGAGCTTAAGTTATGGTCCAGAAATAATATTATTATCATCTGCAACAGTTTCCTTATCTTTGTCGAGTCCATTGTGGTTTGTAAGGAAAAGGTATTATAAATGTAGGTATTATCAGTCATTACCAGGTAAACATTATAAAAACAAAATACTCCTCACACTCATAAGCTTGCGCATAAAAAATGGGGCCATAAGAAACCTTCCCTGATGCTATAATAATAATTTATCACAAATTTGATGTGCCGTAAGCATACCTATTACGAATTAGGGGGTTTCACTTCGGCACACGTTATTAAGCTAACGACCTGGCACAAACAAAGCCCGGTGATCCTCATTTGTACCTGTCCTGCCTGCGGACTCGCTTGACCTTTCCGCTTTTACAAGATGAGTAAAGAAGGCACAGAAACAAAGCTTCATGCAATGTGCGTGTGTGAGTACTGTTATATAATAAAGTATCCTACTATACATGGGGATCGTATATTATATTTCTAAAAAAAATATAATAGGCGTAGGCTACTATATGCTGCCTAAAGAGAGCTAGAAATGCTTTCTTAAAAATACAAAAATAAGGCGGAGAGCAGCAAAAAATTTTCATTCAAAAATTAAGTAAACCACATACCTACCATATTGAGGTGACAGATTTATTTGATAGAAAAAAGTTGGTAAGCCTTCGTCTGAGTGAGCACTGGCGGCCTGCGTACGAAGAGTAGGTAACGTTGGGGGCGGCGACAGCCCCCAGTACACACTCATACACGGGCACTGCATCAAGTTTTACCAGAAGCAAGATGCTTCTTTATCCATGTGCTAATCACGCAAGATGCAATATGGAGTTCAGCGGGAAGCGCAGCAGTGCTGACAAATACATCATTGAGGCCATTATGCCTACGTCCTTTTCTCGTGTCGCTGCCCGCTGTTAATGAGCCGCCATCCTTATTTGTCCTACATTTCCATAATTATGATATTGATGTGATGTCGATTTGGATGTCAGCGCTCTAATATCATTTCATGTGATCTGAAAGGAAATAACTTTATTCATCGAACAATAGCTGTAGTAACATTATCATTGTCGTGTTAGTTTTAATTTGTCTTTAAAAGTGCGGAACTACTGGGATTATGGCAAAAGAATAAGTTTATAGAATTTCTAAATCAAGAATATCATATTCTTGATTTAGAAGTTTCCATACATTTTCTTTTCTTGTTTACGACAGCTAATAGAATAATATATGTCTGACCCATGAAGAACGTTAACGCTACATTTATTTTGCGTTGTATGTATTGTATTATTGAAGTTGACACGAGACGTTCTGGAACATTTCCAGAATAACAAGACAACTTCTTATGACAACACGCCGCGCCGCCGCGTCTTCATACAGCCAATCCTAGAAGCATTTCCGTTTAATTGGATATGTTATGTCATCATGCCTATTATGCTATATTATTATCAAAAACCAAATTTATTTTCCAAAAATATGTATCAGCTTCAGTTTCATAAAGTTTAAATAAATTACATAGGAACTTATAGTTATGTATAACTTTTCATTATAAGCCTGAAGAGTTTGTTTCATTTGTTGTAAGCACTAATCACAGATCTGCTGGTTCGAATTGTTAAAATATTTTATGTCGAATAGTTCATATAACGACGAAGACTTATGCCAGTAGGGGTGGAGAATCAATGAAAAGTTTTGCAAAAACGAGAAATAAGATAACACATTTTAGTAGGTTTATTTTTAAATTATTGCGGATAAAACTGAGGGGCATATGTAGTCGTTTATAGAGGTCTACGACTACTTACATGTTACTCCAATCACTATCATTATTATCAATCACTGACGAGTCACAAAACATAATTATGATTGTGATGGTTGATGAGTGAGTTGAGTCATCACCATCACATCTTTGTGACTCGATTCAAGCTACCCGCATTGTACGGACATATTTTTTTTTTATTCTGTTCTTAAAAACAAACCAAACGGATAAAACAAAAGTAGGCACGGGAAGTTGTCGTTTATTTTACGTCAATTATTAAGAACATGCCTAACCTACGTCTACTCTAATTACTGGGTCAAAAATCTTGAATTATTTACTTCAACCGCACATCTGCGTCGATTTATATTGAGGGTTTGTACGTAGTAGTTACGGTATATTTTTGTCTGCAGGTTCACGGCTCCTGGGGGCTGCCAGCTTTCGTGTGCGATGTCTACATTGCAATGGACGTCACCTCTTCCACTTCGAGTATATTCAATTTAGTCGCTATTTCTGTCGATAGGTAAGTTGATACATATTCATATACTTTAAGAGATAATTAAAAAAAATGATGTTTTATTTTTTTTCGTAATAGTTGAAGTCGGAATGTGAAAAAAACGCAATGCCTTTGTGAATTGTGTATCATAAACATATATTAATAACAAAACTACATCGTTTGTATTTTCTTAGATAACAGCTTCTAAAGATACGTTTCGGAAGTTTCAAACATGTTCCCTTAACTAGCTGCCCGGACAGACTTCGATCTGTCAAAGTTCATAGAAAAAACCTTATTTCGGAATGATCAAGTTACCTTTATAACTCTCCACAATAATCAACGATCACTCAGTCAGTCTTTGATCTTTTGCATGGTCAGACGCGTATTCGATTTTCTAAAATTCTTTAAAAGTTACTTCATTACGTTTTGTACTCTTTACATCTTTATAATAGAGTGGGAATTGTCTAAGCCAGTAATAGTGTACTACTTCATCGTGTGTGTGAAACGGATAATCTTTCATCTTAATAAGCCTAAGCTTCGTGAGAAATCGTATCATTTCGCCGTAAGCTCATCACCATCAGGTGCGTAAGTGCAAAAAGGACAGAAGCTTTTCGATCCTGTCGTCGGTTGCAGCGTGACTTGCAAAAGCTAACTACGAACTTCATTGCAGTTAACAAGTACCGTACGCGGCCAAAATTAAATATGAGCGTAAAAAGAAGTCCTCCTAATAAAGGCACTGGATCGCAACCTGATTTAGCTAAATTACGGGATGAAAGCACTATTAATTTATTCATGCATAAAAAGAGAAAAGTGTCAGATTGCCAATGCGATTACCAAGATATGTTTCAAGAATTTCAGAATAAAATCATGGCTTCTATAAGTTCTACCCTGGAGATACAAAGTCAAAGTTTAAAGGGCACCCTGGATGCATTACGCGATGATTTTATTACATTTAAACAAGAAATAAGTGACCTTAATGAAAAAGTTATAACAATAACTGCAGAACAGTTGGACATTCAAAAAAATCTGAGCGATTTGTCATTGACAAATGAAAAAAATAATCACAAAGTTGATTCACTCACAAATGATGTTATTGAATTGCGTTCTACTATCAATACTTTAACTGAACAGCTTCGTGTAAAAGATCAGCAGGGGCGTATGAACAACTTAGAAATTTCTGGTATACCTATTTTAAAAGGTGAAAATTTGCACAATATTTTACACAACATTTCTACAAAGATAGGATTTCATCTAACCCCCTCCGACATTGATTATGTTCAACGAGTTCGGCGTTTCAACTCAGGTAAAACGAATGAATCATCCAATTCAGCAGACGCTCCGAATCGCGATACCACTGCAATACCGAATATTATTGTTAAATTCACACAGAGGAAGCGTAAAAGCGATATGCTAGCGGCGGTGCGTGAGCGAAAAGGCTTGACTACCTCCGATGTTGGATTGGATGGACCAGCCAAACCTATATTTATTAACGATCATTTGACACCTTCGAGCAAATTATTATATAAGCAAGCCAGAGTTCTCGCAAAAGAAAAGGATTATAAATACATTTGGTTGTCTGATTGTAAAATTCTTTTACGCAAAAGTGATGCATCCAAAATAGTGTATGTTATGAATGAAGGTGATCTTTCCAAAATTAAATGACTAATTTTATACTTCCATCAATATCCATCCATAATTAATTATTTATATATAAGATTGTTTTCTTTAATTGTTTATAAACGCCTATATTACACTTGTCACAATTTACTTATAATAAGATCATATCATTTTGTCACTAAATTACACTTACACATTGTTTTTAATTACGTCGGTGGAACTATTTTAATCAATATAATAATATTTATTATTAAAATTAGATAACGATAATTTAACAATATACTATCAAAACGTGAGGGGTTTACGCACAAAATCACATTCTTTTTTTAACGCCATTCTAACTTGTAACTTCGATATTATATGTATCACTGAAACTTGGCTTAACAACAACTTTCACGACTCGGAATACTTTGATAGTAGATACGATTTGTTTAGATGTGATCGTAATATAGCTGTAAGCGGACATGAACGTGGTGGCGGAGTGCTGATAGCGGTGCGCCGCGACTTGTGCCCGCGGCACCGCGGCGACATGCGTGCATCTCCGCCAGCTGAGGAGGTATGGGTGTCGGTGCCGCTGCGCTCGCGGCCGCTGGCTCGCGGCAGCGTCCCCTCCACCACCGTTGCTGCATCAAAACACGTTCCACAATACTTACACGTTATAACCACCTATATTGCTCATGGTAATAATCATAGCACATTGCTCAAATCATTTTATGACAGAGCCAGTGATTTTATTAATCGTAACTCTGAAGATATATTTTTGATACTCAGCGACTTCAATATTTCTAACGCACAATGGATTTACGATACAACCAGCAATTCTATGCAAATACAAACAAATAATGATAATTTAGCTTGTCTTACCGCCGATTTTATGGGAATATCTTTATTATCACAGTATAACAGCCAATTTAATCAAAACAGTAAGCTTTTGGATTTAATTTTTTGTAACGATTATTGTCAAGTATCACTTAGCAGCCACCCAATGGTGCCATGTGATCCTCACCACCCCCCACTAGAATTAGATTTAAAATTAATGATTAATGTAGCACTACAACCTTCAAATTGCATTAAAAAACAATTCTTTAAAGCCGATTTTGACTCCATTAGGGCAGCTCTAAATAAAATAGACTGGGAGAAGTCTCTGGTGGGTGATGTAGATTCTATGACAAATTATTTTTATAATATTTTGAATAATTTAATAGAGAAATATGTGCCAAGTTACAATATAAAAACGAAGCATAAATATCCAGTTTGGTTTACTAAGCCCTTGATAAAATTAGAAAATGAAAAATGTAAATTTCACAGGAAATGGAAGCGTTTTGGTAACATATGTGATTATAATATATACTCAATGTTAAGGAGTCGGTTCAAAAGGATGTCGGCGGACTGTTATAAAAAAATTATTAAGTATTCCGAAGATAATATTAAAAAAGACCCGAAATCGTTTTGGTCATATGTTAAATCAAAAAAATCTAGAAATGATATCCCAGCCAAAATGGTTTATATGGGCAAAACAATTTCTTGTGGTAAAGAAATTTGTGAGTCATTTAATACATACTTTAATTCTGTATTTATTTCATCTACCGGTGATTCTTCTCAAGTCAATACACATAGAGATAGTTTTTCTACTCTTGACCTTAACTCGGTAAATATTAATCTTGATATTGTCTTAAAAGAGTTGAAAAATGTCAATGTGCACAAGGGGGCTGGTTTTGATAATATTCATCCTATTTTAATTTCTAAGTGTGCTATAGAACTGGCAAAGCCTGTCACATTGTTATTTCGTGCTTCTCTGGAGAATGGAGTTTTTCCAGAGAAATGGAAGTATTCTCTCATCACTCCCATTCCCAAAAATAATAAAAAGGATATTTTGACAGAATACAGGCCGATTTCTAAGCTTTATGTTTTGGGTAAGATTCTTGAAAAAATAATAACTTCGCAAATCACAGTAGCTGTTCGTAATTTTATATCTCCCCAACAACATGGGTTTTTTAAGCATAGAAGTGTTGATACAAATTTGATCACATTCACTGATTACTTATTACAAGCAATGGATGAAAATTCCCAGGTGGATGTCGTGTACACCGACTTTTCCAAAGCGTTTGATAAAATTAGCCATAATCTGCTTATTGATAAACTAATGAGGGCCGGTATACACGGCAACCTGCTGAGATGGATCGAATCTTATATTAAAAATAGATTTCAAGCAGTTTGTATCAAAGGTTATACATCACAATTCCTTCCTGTACCTACAGGTGTACCGCAAGGTTCTCATTTAGGCCCTTTACTCTTTTCTTTGTATATTAATGACATCGGTGACGTTATCAAACATAGTCAGCACTTACTATATGCAGATGACGCAAAAAAATTTAAGGTAGTGAAATCTATGGATGATTGTAAGAAGTTGCAAGAAGATTTGGAAGCTCTGAGTAATTACTGTTCATCCAATCAATTGTTTTTAAATATAAATAAGTGTTCTATATTATCTTTTACCCGAAAAAAGAAACAGTACAACTTTCAATACACATTTGAAGGCAACAATATCAAGCGCGTCACTAAAATTAGAGACCTTGGTTTGATTATGGATTCGGAACTAACTTTTAATCCTCACATAGACCACATATTAAACTTAGCATTTCGTAGATTAGGATATATACTCAGAATATGTAAGCCTTTCAAAGAAATTATCACCCTTAAAATTTTATATTTTTCTTACGTCAGGTCTCTTCTAGATTTTTGCAGCACGGTTTGGAGCCCATGTTATCTAAAGCATGTGCAAAGACTAGAAAGAGTGCAGGGTAAATTTATTAAATCTCTTAACTTTCGCAACAATGTAGCCGATGAATCATACAGTGAAGCTTTGGTTAGATATAAACTGCTTAGTCTTTCTAATCGTCGTAAAATGTTTGACATTATTTTTCTTTTCAAACTCTTAAACTCACAAATTGATTCGTCCATTCTTCTCAGCAAAATTTCCATTTTAGCACGAGTTCGTCTCCCGGTGCGCTCCTCACGTAAATTGCAATTTTTTGTTCCTTCGCCGTTACGCAAAAACTATACACGTAATTCTTATATGTGTCGTTCCACCAACGTTTATAACAAAGAGTTCTCCGATTTGGACCTTTGTAATATATCTATCAATAGTTTAAAACAAAAACTAAATTATATATTGATGGAAAAACCAAAAAAAGAGTGTTTATGAAAATTTCTATTTGTGTTATAAGTTGTTAACTTTTAATGTCAATAAATTGTTAGCATTAGATGAATACACGTGCAAATCTGACTATGTTGAGACTCTATTAGCTGCTATAAATGTAATAAACTTTGGGCACTGTTTGGTCTATTAATATTAACATATATGCATGTACTTCAATATTATGTAAATGACTGTTTGTTGCCAAAATAAATGAAAAAAAAAAAAATCACTAACAAAAACAAGTTTTCTATTTGGTACACTGCAAGACTTTATAAATGTGATGATATTCATCTTAATGCTTTGCGATATTTTTTGTTTGATTGCCTGGCGCGTAAACAAATAAAGCTGATGCAGGACCGTAGCTGAAGTGAAGGGGGCATTACGGGGCTATGCCTTAGGTACCTTAAAATACCATTGCCCTATCATAAAACGTGGCGACAGATCAGGCAGCGAAGGGCGGCAAGCCCTGTTTATTTTTTTATTATTATTATTTATTTACCCTTTTCTTTATGACACTGACAAAGCCTCTGTTTACAGACTACGGCGCCTTTAAGAGGCACACCGCGGAACGGACCTCACACCTGGCTTCCGCAAGCTTTACCGACCCCCGAAGTGGCTGCCCACTGAGGACCTCGTAACTCTTACGGGCGCTTTACGGCATAATACTCGCTAAAAGACCCTGCGAATACCCTCTAAGCTGCTTAGTGCGAAGCCACGGCATCCCCGTTTTGGGATTCTGCCGCATTTCCACACCCAGCAGCCTCCCGGCCTAGCCGGGGCTCCACGGCAGGGGTCTCCCGGGGTATCGTGGGGACTCCGCAGACGTGCGCAGGAAGGCCAGCAGCGCGTGGGGGCTGAGTACGCGGCCTAGTGCCCATCGTACCGCCCCCCGTCCGCTGCGGAGGGCTACTTGGGCGTGCCCGTGTAGCTCCCTCCGCCGCCCCCCTCTTTGCAGGACAGAACTACAAGAGGGGAGCTGCCGTCACGGGATCCCTCGGTGGCCCCCGCGGGCAGGGTCATGGGACGGGCACAGCCAGGGCGCGCTCTCGTCCTCTCCTGCCTGCTCTTCTTCGGTTTGAGGGAGTGGCTAGGGGATCCGCCTCTCAGCGCCGCGATCAGGTCGCGACGCTGCTGCCGCCAGGCCGTGCACTCCAACAAGGAGTGCTCGGCCGTATCGTTCGGGGCGCCGCAGTGATGACACTGCGGCATTTCCTCCCGACGGGCGACACGGTACAGGTAGTGACCGAAGCATCCGTGCCCGGTCAGTACCTGCACCATGCGGAACGAGAGACCGCCGCACCGGCGACCCACCCACTCCTCCACCACCGGACAAATGGCCTCAATCATCCAGTGGCCAGCGCTTACATGAGCGAGTGCCCCATCCCATCGCCGCAAGGCCTCTGCCTGCGCAGTAGAACGGACCTGCCGTAGCTCTGCTGGGGCAGATCTTTCACCCCGCTCCCTGGCTTCGCCCCGACCTCGATGCACGTCTACCCGGACCTGAGCATCGAGATCCCACGGCGTCATACCCGCGAGTACGCAGGCGGCGCCGTGGCTGACCGTGCGGTACGTTCGCACGGCCCGGGTCGCGATACTCCTCTGCGGTCGTCACAGCAGGGCCACCGTGCGAGGTTTGAGGCACTCTGCCCAAACCGGTCTCCATAAAGTGCCATCGCCCGTATCACCCCATGATACAGTCGACGGCACGCATCTCCTGGTCCCCCCACGTTTGGGAAGACCCTGCCGAGTGCGTCTGCGGCGGCACACAGCCGTGGAACAAGGAGTTTGAAATGCTCCTCGAACCTCCATCGGGGATCCAACACCAGGCTGAGCTACTTCAGGCTTCCCTCGACCGGTATACGGACCACATCTACCCGGATATGGAGCCCCGGTTGGGTGCTGCGGCGTGGGCCATGGAACAGCATGGCCCTCGTTTTGTCGAGGGCCACATCCAGGCCCAGTAGGCGGATGCGTCGGACGGTTAGCGCAGTGCCGACCGACGTCAGCCTACTGACCCTGGGAATTACATATTTATGATCATATCAAAACAAAGACGCACTGGAAATTACAATTGTTTATATTCAAGTGGTATCATTGGGATGCGAGGTATCAATCAAATCACATTAAAGTAAATTGTTCACTGCTAGCCGTGTGCCGTTATAAAGCGCGATAAATTAATATTTCGTCACATCCTCACTGCCAGGATTGGTTGGTAATGATAGTGTTTCACTACCAATCCTGGTACTTTTTCTTTATTTTATTGCCATAATCTTCGATTATAAATATAATTGAGGACCTGGCGAACAAAACGGTATAATTACTCAAAATGAAATTTTACAGGAACTGTATAAAACTGAATGACATACCTACAGTGAGGTTTTGGCATGGTTTTAATTTATAAATTTATAAATTTTAACATTGTTTTAGCCGGTTCTGATTGAAAATTATTTGAGATTCAAATTCAACGGGCCCGTCACCTCCGGACTGTAAAAAAGTAGTTTGACGAGATGCGTAATCATAACGTTTTGTTCGCCAGCTCCTCAATTTCAACTTTTAATTAAAGATTATGGCAACCGCAAATCCAATGAGTTCAAAAATTCTGGTGGATAGTTGACAACATAACTTCGCATAATTCGTTAAAGTTTGACGCAGCTAGTTTGTATAGGAAAATAAAAGGGTATTTTTTTATTATTTTCCACGCCATTATTATGTTTTTTGTCTCCATGAAAGCTTTAAGGAACATAAGTAAAAAAAAGGCGCCGTATTGGTAATGTTTAGCAACATTATTTTTTTATTTATATACTTAGATATATTTTATTCAAATCACAGCAATTATTTTAGTCTCAAATTAAGGAAAGGTGTACAATAAATAATGATTTATTGTACACCTTTCCTTAATTTGAGACTAAAATAATTGCTGTGATTTGAATAAAATATATCTAAGTATATAAATAAAAAAATAATGTTGCTAAACATTACCAATACGGCGCCTTTTTTTTATATAATACTCAAGTAATTTTATAACTAAACATGATTTGGGAACAAATATATGTCACGTAAAAGATATCTCTACTGGAATTCGAAACTAGGATTCTTGGAGCAGAAAGCAGGAGCGCTGGCGTTGAACCAACAGCACTTGTGCTAAAAACAAATTATATTCAAATTGTTTAGTTATTTTGTACTAAACTTAATATTTAATCCCACTTAAACCAAAGTTCCTAATTAAAATTTAAAAAGTAATCACGTTTGGGCTTCATGCCATTTCTATTTGTCTTAAAACAATTTAACAAGGATTGAATAATGTACTAAACACGATTAAAACTTAATTTGGACTAACAACTTTGGTACAAGTGGGCCTGAAACTCAGCTATTCCAGTTATTAAATACAAACCCCCTTATTAATAAACGCGGGATAAGCTTTCACTAGTTACACCGTATTTTGTTCCTATCACTCAAATGCCATCTGTCATTCAATGAACAGAGACAAAACATGAAGTAACAAATCCAAGCTTATTCTTCGTTCATTAATAAGGGGGAGTGATTCAAGATTGAAACTATAAATAGAGTTACTATCATGAGATTTGATAATTTAAAGCAAATTCAAAGTTGCCTTGCGATTTATCGTGATAGTCATTATCGTTCATGCTTCTCTGTTTTCTAAGAATTAATTAATATCAATAAGACAAAATTATTATTTATCTATTTACTTTTAGCCAAAAAGAGTTTTGTATACTAATTAAAACCTAAAGGTACTGCACAATGTTACTGCATATAAAGTGTCATCAGCTTTGGAATTTTTGGAGCGATTTTAATCTATTTTTAGTGTCATAATATGATAATTTGGATTTATCAAACGGCAGTGTGATTACGGAAATTATAACCCCTAAAATTTATTCGTAGGTATATTGCTGTGACGCAACCAATCAAGTATGCGAAGCACAAGAACAACAGGCGAGTCTGGTTCACCATAGTGCTGGTGTGGTTGATATCGGCCGCTATCGGGGCGCCCATCGTGCTCGGTCTAAACGACACCCCCGATCGGGACTTCGACGAGTGTCTCTTCAACAGCCACAACTACGTCATATACTCTTCTCTTGGCTCCTTCTACATCCCTTGTATAATGATGATGTTCCTGTACTATAATATATTTAAGGTAAATAAAATTTAGTTGAAATAAATTGTATAATGAATGAAATGAATTTTGTAAAATGTTAAGAGAGCAGTAGCTGACGATGAATGTGATCCATCTGTCTTCTTATCCTGGCCGGGACTTCGACGAGTATCTCTTCAATAGCCAGAATAATGTTAAATGCTACTCCTCCGTCGGCTCCTTCTACATCCCTTTTATAATGATGATGTTTCTGTTCTGTGCTATAATATAATTAAGGTGAGTAAATTTTGGAAAAATCAGCAGAATTCTGTGCTTTTTAAGGGTGCAGTGAGCTTCTACGATAATAATTAAGACTGCTATTCTCTTAAAAAAAGAACAAAAGGTCCATATTATTCGTTTATTAATGAGGGAGCAATGTTAAAAATATTTTACTAGAAAAAAACCACGCGGTCCAGGTCCATCCTGTCTGATGCCTCGTGGATTATTTCTAATAAAAAAATCTTTACATTGCTCTCTCATATATAAACGATTTTTTTCTAGTAATATTTTCTTAAGATTTTTAAGTGCTCAAAATAAAAACTAAATAAAAGAGGCAATTACTTAAACTTAATATGACATGAGAAGTAAAAAAAGGTGATGATGATAAAATATGTCAATATTGAAGGCCATTATAATATCCTTAACAGGCATTAAGAAATAGAGCAAAGAAACAGCGAGCAGCGAAGAAGCCCCCCATATCTAGTGACCCCACAACGGGTGCTACACAAGCTGTCGTGATAGAGAATGTGGCTCAAACGAGGCGACTCGCCGAAACAGCACTCCACGAAGACAGACCAACTAACACAGGATCTGGGAGCAACGAAGATGATCATGAAGATAGGTTTGTAGACAGTGCTTTAAAATTACTTTTAAATTTATATGAATTGCTTGCTAGAGCAAGCAATATCGTTGAGATAAGAATTTGCGTTACAATAGGTTTGCCATGGAATTAAAGAGAACATTAAATATTCAACGATGCTACTTTAGATTGCAAAAATAATACTCGAAGAGGTTGAATTAGGGTATAAAAGCTGAACAAAGTAGTACCTAAACACTCGCAACCCGCGAGTATTTGAAATAAATAAATCTATAAATGATTTATTGACTAAAAATAGAAACATAATTAATATATGAGCTACAGTTATAATAAAGTGTGAAAGAATATGTATTCCTCGTTGATTTCACGTTAACTTTTTGTCACTTCCATTTAACACGCACGGCAGATGTAAATTGAAAATCTGGGGGCTTAGAGAGGTGGGATTCATTTTCCGCATTTGCGTCATTTTACACTCATGTAACTTGAGCCAGATCGTCAAGTGTGTACGCAAGATAACTTTGATTGAGTAAGACTTTCATTGCATTTTTCATGAAAACCAAACCGCTTTGGATGATCTTATTGTTCTATTCGTTGATTGAAAAAGTTGAATTGTCTTTACGAAGTGTTGAAGTGTCTTTACGAAAAGACGAGTTTACGTATTAAGATATGCCTTCATGACCTACTGTTTTTCTCTTCTTGTATTATAAAACAAAATCAAAATAAGGGGAATAATGTGATAAATTTATACTTGGATTCAAGCTTAACTTATCTGTGTATATATATAGGTATACTAGCTGACCCAGCGAACTTCGTACCGCCATAAAAAAAATTAATTAAAAAAACATTGTCCAGCGGGCAAAATTGTGAATCTAAACCATTCTCAGATCCCCTTGAACACACACAAAAAATTTCATCAAAATCGGTCCGGTCGTTTAAGAGAAGTTCAGTGACATACACACTCACAGAAGAATTATATATATAAAGATAATAGCATCAGTAATGTTGGACGAATATAGACGGACCGTTAAAACAAAATAGATCAATATTTAAAGTTAGTCAAATTATATATTGTTTAAAACTTTCATAGTCACTGACATTATAAATATTAACGGTATTGTTACCATGTACCAATTACATGGTAACAATCCCGATAATATCTTTAATGTTAGTCAAATAAGCTTAGATACTTTAATAACAAGCGCATGCATGATTATGTCGATATTATATTGATTCACAATGCTTAACTTGTATGTCCCAGATGTAATAAAGAAAGGTATTATGTTTCATTTTTTTTTTTAATTTTCTAACAGTTTCGACAAAAGATCGGCTGATCTAGAAGCGGATGCTGATGAGTGCCACGTCATACCTAATGATAAGTCAACTGAGTTCATGTTGGCAACAGTAGCAGAAGAAACTGCAAAGTAAGTGTTATATATATCCTTTGCATAAGACCCAATTCATTGTTAAAATAAGGTTTAATTTAAAAAAATGGTAAATATTTGCCATGTAATGTAAATATTGTCCGATATCAGAGCTCGACACAATGGTTGTGAATTTCAAATAAGGACAATAAGTTAAATTCGATTTATTTGAAAACTTATGCGTGAATTTGAATTCTAAAACAGGTAATGTCAACGGACCAGAAGTTCTCCTTTCCTTTCTAAAGTTTAAGTTAAAATTTATCGCCAAACTTGAATCGGCTCCTTTGAGAAATCCTAATTTCGATCATTTGTTAAGTAGAGGATTGAATGGTTTTTTTTTGAGAAATCGTTATTAACAGCGGTTTTAATTATATAAATGTTGATGCTTTATACGAAATTATATTAACCATCTTTTGGGTTTTCAAAGAACTTAAAAGTTTAACCAAACCTGAAGATAAATAAATGTATTCTATGATAATATTTTAAGTTTCACTTATCAATTTCACTATGCACTGATGCAATGAAGAATACCTATTTTTCAAAATGCATGCACATAAGAAGAGTTTAACCCAATTATTGTGTTGATATAGTCATAGCCAACATAAGTAAGATGGGCAATTCGTAAAACTTTTATTCAATCTTGGAATGGTAGTGAGAGTAGAATAAATCAAGCAAAGGGATATTACTATTACAGTCAAACATTTAAGGCTTATAGCAACATTTTTAGGTTTTAACTATTGCGGTATTGCGGCATATTATTGTATTCCTGCTGCTCTAGTTGTCCTCAAAGTCTTTAATTATCATTATAAAAATAAAACAATCGAGGATAACAAAAGTGTTACAATTTTCAGACTTTTTATTACACAATCACACCAATTAGCTTAGCCCCAAATGAAGCACTGACAGGCATGTGTTATGGGATCCTTTATATAACTATGTTTATATAGAAATATATTATAAATATCCATGACTAAGATACAAATGCTTGTATACATCATATTAACATATGCCCCCACCGGGATTCGAATCGAGTAAGCGACACCTTGAAACCCGGCGTACAGGGCGTCCCACGGCTACCTCACACGGAGGGAAAGTATATTAAATATTGGAGATAGGATATTTTACTAAAAGAAGACATCATTTTATTTTTAATAATAAATTTCTATTTATTGCATGCATTCAGACCTTTTTTAAAATTGCCTGCTACGGGTGGGAATAAAAAAAAATTAAAATGCTATGTTACTAAGCAAAAAATAATTCTTATGATTAACCCTTTCGATGGTTATCATAGAATAAGTCGTGTTTTTTTTCGAAATTTCACGAGTTTGATTCGCAGTTGTAGCAGGCGATTTAAAAAGATAAGTGTGAATGCAGTTCTGGTTATTATTAAAAATAAAATGATATTCTTCTGATCTTCTTTCAGTAAAATATCCTATCTTCAATATAATTTCCCTCCGTGTGAGGTAGCCGTGGGACGCATTGTATACCACTCGGCCACGAAAGTCGTCTTAAGACTTAACATATACGTATACAGAATTAAAGTAAATACCCAGAATTTGTATTAGACTAACAAGTATTTAGGACAAAGAGTTAGGTATCACTACAATAGAATATTATACAATGGTAATTGCACTATTTGAACTATGTATGTTTAACGTAAAGACGTTCAAAGGCAGGGTTGTCTATGAGTATTAAATATATAAAGATTTGAAAAGGAATTTGAACGCAATCTTTGAATTTAGATAAACATGTAAATGTAAGTAGATAATTCAATTTGTAATGTAAATAAAATAAAAAAAATAAGAGGGAGGGAACACGTTAGCGGACAGAGCATTCCATTTACGGATAGTGCGACAAAGAAATGAGTCACCAAATTTCTTTGTACGCGTTGGAATAGTGGCTACAGTTAGTCGGTGGCAACATAGGCTCGCCGTGGTACAGACTATAGAACAAGCTTAATAATAATTAACGCTACGTCACGGCGTAATGGAAGAAGCTCGATGTGTTTAGTCCGCACCTGCGTCTTATACAACAAGCACAGTTGCTCGAGCGTGAAAAAACACTGTACATTGTTCAGGACTCCGAGTTTGCGTGTGGCCGTGTTGACCACGCTTTCGATGTAATTCTTTGGATTTAAGTCACAGTGAATTTCCATACCGAGCATGATAATACTGCTCTCTAGCTTCAGTGTAAAGTGTGAGTGCTCCCTGAAGAGAAGGAAATGAAAGCGCAGAATTCGGTGCGAACCTCTCGCTGCCTGATTTTAATATCAGGCATCGTTGTGCCACAATGAGGTAATAATGGTAGTGCATTATTATCATCTATTCAGGAGTTAGCTGCAAAAAGTTTTGCCAGTAAATCTGCCGCAAAGAGTTTGGCCAAACGCCAATAGCTACGGGAGCCCGTAGTATGCATTATATGTTCGTGACCAACACGTGTAGCGCGCTTGGCATCCGCTCTAATGTAAGCCTTCTTACAGGCATTGGAAGCAAAATTGTAAGCTGCTTTTAGTGAATCGACCTCGAGATCCTTAAGAGCGCGGCGTCTGGTCCAAGCATGATATGCCGCTTGCTTACGCGAAACAGCTTCAACACAGTCGCGATCGAACCAGAGGTTACGTGTGCCCTTACTGATGAGATTAGAATGAGGAATATAGTATTACATATACAATACAATCTCCTCAGTAATAGCAACGGCGCTGGCCGATAGGTCTTTATCACTGAAGCAGCGCTGCTTCAAATAATTCCATGGGACGGATGCATAGTAGCTACGCATACCGTCCCAATACTATGAGTCGGCAGATCAAACGCTGGAGCATTTGACGACCGCTAGACGCGGAGGCTTGTTCTGTGACGCTTTAGCAGATATCAGGCAGTGATCCGACGAGCCCAGGAGGGCTCTTACAACAACCTGATAGCCCCGTGGACGGGCTGTAAGCAGAAGGTCCAGTAATGAAGGCGCTTGACATTGAATATTTGGAATCCTGATGGGCTGTTCAACCAGTTGCTTCAAGTCATGCCTGCGAGCGCAGTGAGCAGAGTTGCGTAGATTAAAGTAAAAATTGAAGAATATTTAATTTCAATTTTATAACTTACTAGCTAACCCAGCAAACTTCGTTCGAGCGTCGTCGCCATAAAAATATGGGTGGTAGAGGGATGAAAATTAAGGGTTGTTTTGTGTTTTTAATATTGCGATACATATTTAACGTAGTTTTTTTTTCTTCAGACGATTTAATAATTATTTTGAACACAAAATCGGTTATTGTGATTAAACCATGATAGCTAGATATATGTTCTCGCGGACTTTTTTGTAGGTATTAATGAGATCTACAAACCAGTAGTACATCATTTTGTTCTATTGTCAATAGTTTTTGCAGCGAACGCAAAAATAGGTTTTCGATTTTACACCTTGTGTTACAAAATAGCAATTTTATTACGGATCCCTAATTTTGAAAAAAAAAATATAGCCTTCTTCGATAAATGGACTACCCAACACTGAAAGAATCATTCAAACCGGACCAGTAGTTCCAGAGATTAGCGCGTTCAAACAAACAAACAAACTCTGCAGCTTTTTATTAGTATAGTTTGATACCCATATTCACGTACAACGTTACAGTTTCTTGTATCTGAACCCTTGACTAATTTATTTTTGTTGCTATATCAGCAAACATCTCGATGGCGCAATGGTCAAAGGACAACTTGATGTTATTAGGAATTCGGTTATGACCCTTTCTATATCTACCGGGAAGACCTCTACCTAAGCAAATAGGCTAATAATCATGATGTCAGGAATAAATAAATAAATAAAAAAATAAATATTTCCAACACACACCAATTAGCCTAGCCCCAAAGTAAGCACTGTAAAGGCTTTTGTTATGGGATACTAGGGTAACGGAGAGAATATATATATTGTACATATATAAGTATATTTATATGAAATACATATTAAACATCCATGACTGGAGTACAAATGCTCGTATTCATCACACAAACATCTGCCCCCACCGGGATTCGAACCCGGGACCTCTCGAGTCGGCGACGCCATGAAACCCGGCGTATAAACCACTCGGCCACGGAGGTCGTCAATAGAAATAAATAAGTAATAGAAATAAGTAATACGCTTTCCTTACAAAATTATAAAGTAGGCCATTATAATTTTCTGGGAAAATCATAACTAAGTACTTAGTACAATCCATGAGATTACCTTGAAATTTCCTTCACTTTTTAACACAACACAGCAGGCCAAATCGTTCTAATCTCAACGTATACCTTATAAGTATCGTAATGATAACCTCCTATTGCAGAATGATCTCAACAGGCTTGCTTCCTGGTGCCATAGAAATCCCATGTCACTAAATATAGCCAAATGCTTTGTAGTGCATTTCAGCAGGATAAGGCAAATGTAGTAAATATAGACCAGGGTCGATAATTTTTGAGACCAAAAAAAATTATAGTAGGATAAAACTCATTAGAAAAGGTAAAGAATATAACAAAAATGAAAGGAAAAATAAATTACGGGCGATCTGAGGTCGGGAAGGGGGAGGGGGTGAGTTTTTAAGGGTAAAAAATGGTTAATCTCGATTTCCGGTAAAACTGCAAGTCCTATGAAAAAAAGTTAAATGGCAAAGTTGTAGGTAATAAAAAGATCTACAACTTTTATATCGACACTTTTTTCACATAACCTCAAAATTTATGTGAAAAATGCGAATAACCGAGTTTTTGGTTTTTGTTTTTTATTTTTTGCAAAAAAAATATTTTTTCATGAAATTTAGTGAAAACTTACCTTTGTATGTCCCAAATATACGGTAATTTTTTTGATTTAAAATATTATTTTTTTCACCCTATTTTGACTTAATATCGAAAAAGCACCCTTATTTTTAATCGAAAATTCTCACGTCAAAATATCTGCTTTTTTAAAAAAAAATGGGGTGTTTTTTGTTTGTTGAAATCTCTACTTTCTGATGGTATAAAAAAATATACACTACTATGGTAAATGTTCTCAGAAACTGCAAATTAATAATGAAAAAAACTCCATCTCGCATTTTTCACATAAATTTTGAGGTTATGTGAAAAAAGTGTCGATATAAAAGTTGTAGATCTTTTTATTACCTACAACTTTGCCATTTAACTTTTTTCATAGGACTTGCAGTTTTACCGGAAATCGAGATTAACCATTTTTTACCCTTAAAAACTCACCCCCTCCCCCTTCCCGACCTCAGATCGCCCGTAATTTATTTTTCCTTTCATTTTTGTTATATTCTCTACCTTTTCTAATGGGTTTCATCCTACTGTATTTTTTTTTCACTTTTCACCATTTTTAAAATTATCGACCCTGGTCTAATACTTACAGAGTGAATGGTAAATATTTAACACTATCAAGTGTTCGAGATTTGGGCGTTATTCTCAATGGCAAGCTGCGTTTTCATCTCCACATTGATCATGCAGTAACTCGCTGTTTTAAGTCTCTTAGTTTCATAATACGTAATTGCAGGGACTTCAAAAATCATGAAACCAAAATCCATATATACAACGCAATTGTGCTTAGTTACCTGGAATATTGCTCGCCAGTGTGGAATCCGTATTACGATGTGTACTCAAAACGAATAGAACAAGTCCAAAAACGCTTCTTGTGGCATTTATCTTTCCAGCATAATCTTGCTAAAAAATTGCCTAGTTATGAGGAACGGCTGCGACATTTCAGGATGAGCAAGTTGAGTGGCAGAAGGAAACTACTGGATCTCATGTTTTTATATAATGTTGTATATAACAGAGTTGACTGTCCATCTTTGATTTCAAATATAAGTTTTAGTACACCTTTTAGGGCTTTTTCAATTTATGCGTTTCTTGACGGCCTGCTGCGGTGTCGAAGCGGTGCGTTTGTCGTACAGCGTACGGACGATCCTTTTTTTTTCATACAAAACGCGCGGTGCGGCAATAGTCCTGTTGTCGAGCGTTCGCGGTACCGGCGCCGCACTGTTGCCGCACCGCGCGTTTTGTATGAAAAAAAAGCTACCTTTTCTAATGGGTTTCATCCTACTATATTTTTTTTTCACTTTTCACCATTTTTAAAATTATCGACCCTGGTCTAATACTTACAGAGTGAATGGTAAATATTTAACACTAGCAAGTGTTCGAGATTTGGGCGTTATTCTCGATGGCAAGCTGCGTTTTCATCTCCACATTGATCATGCAGTAACTCGCTGTTTTAAGTCTCTTAGTTTCATAATACGTAATTGCAGGGACTTCAAAAATCATGAAACCAAAATCCATATATACAACGCAATTGTGCTTAGTTACTTGGAATATTGCTCGCCAGTGTGGAATCCGTATTACGATGTGTACTCAAAACGAATAGAACAAGTCCAAAAACACTTCTTGTGGCATTTATCTTTCCAGCATATTCTTGCTAAAAAATTGCCTAGTTATGAGGAACGGCTGCGACATTTCAGGATGAGCAAGTTGAGTGACAGAAGGAAACTACTGGATCTCATGTTTTTATATAATGTTGTATATAACAGAGTTGACTGTCCATCTTTGATTTCAAATATAAGTTTTAGTACACCTTTTAGGGCTTTTTCAATTTATGCGTTTCTTGACGGCCTGCTGCGGTGCCGAAGCGGTGCGTTTGTCCTTTTTTTTCATACAAAACGCGCGGTGCGGCAATAGTCCTGTTGTCGAGCGTTCGCGGTACCGGCGCCGCACTGTTGCCGCACCGCGCGTTTTGTATGAAAAAAAAGGATCGTCCGTACGCTGTACGACAAACGCACCGCTTCGGCACCGCAGCAGGCCGTCAAGAAACGCATAAATTGAAAGAGCCCTTAAGCTCAAGCGACCCTCCGTTTACTCTTTGTTTTCACTCAAGTGCTTTAGAACGAACTTAGGTTTAAACAGCTCTCTAACTCAAATGTGTAGGTCTTATAACGGTGTGGATAAATTGGACAATAGTTTGGACATTTTTGGTAGTAGTTCTATTTCTTTTAAACATAAAGTAAATAAACTTATGAAATCTTCCTGAATCTTCGGTTCTCGTCTTCACCTTTGTTATGTTGTAATTGTATACCTATAAAAATATTTTGATATTTTGTGATATGATAATATTGCTGTCATCATTTTGATTATTTAGATTGCCATAATATCAAGACAGAACATTAGTATACTCATTTTTAAATTAATTAATTTTTATTTCTATTGTGCGGTATATTTATGTTATTGTTTTTTAATTGATTTCACTTCAGGTTATGCAGAATAATGTTCGATGCGTTGTTTTATAACGCATGCGGTGGTGAACTTTAAGTAAGATAGCATCTTATTATCGCCGATGCTTGTATCTTGTATTGGTGTATATCTTCTTGGTTGTCCTTAAATAAATACAAAATTTCATAATCTTTCTGAGAAAGGATTATACTGTTTCGCAAAAAGGAGCAGTTAATAATAACAATCATGAACAAACCTCAGATACGTCAAATTAATATTGAACCGACTTCAAAAAGGAGAAGGTTCTGAAATCGTCCAGATAGTATTTTATTGTTGACGCGCATATCTCCGACATGCATATACCGATTTTGATGATTCTTTTTTTGATGTGAATAAATTTTTGGCGAGCTAACCGTAATAATTTGGAAGATCTAATGAGTATTTTCGGAGAAAACAAATTAGTTACAAACAGTATGTACTCAAATCTGGTGTGCCTATTTTACAATATATGAAAGCGATAATGCAGGCCGGAATACATTTACTTGGTAGTTGATGTTACTCTGTATTATAAACAGTGTAATATATACTTATTAACCTAAATAAAAACTGTATTAAAAAAATAAAACCACTCAAAAGTGATGAAAATGTTAACTACATTTTAGTTGGTGTCATGCATGTTAATATATCTGAGCTACCGTTTACTGCTTGGGTTGGCAAAGCACTGAAACCATTAATGTTGATGTAACTTTAAATGTAGTTTACATTAATATCAATATTTGTATTATTTTTTACGGTTTTGTTTCTATGAAGTCGGTTTTTGTTTTTTAATGCTTAACCTTGTAACGCGTTCTCTTATTGTATTGCTAAGGCAAAGAAAACTTCATATTTTTTTATAAAAAAACTAGCTGTCCCAGCGAACTTCGTACCGCCATAAATAAATAGGGGTTGGTGGTAGTAGGGTGAAAATTTAGGATTGTATTTTTGTATGATGTATCATAAAAAAATAAAAACAAAAAACTTAAGGTTTACCACCCTTAACATTTAGGAGGATGGCAAAATAGACATTGTCCGATTCTCAGACCTACTGAATATCCATATAAAGTTTTACGAAAATCGGTCGAGCCGTGTCAACAATACAAAATAATGAAAATTTACCTTTATAAGGCCAATGTTGCATTATTTACTTAAAACGTTCACTTATTAAAGAAAATACGTTTATAGTACAAATCGTGTGCTATGATAGATCTTCTATGTATGTACACTGAAGTAAGAAGAAATTTATTTGTACCGAATGCACTATTGAACTGCACCATTAATAGTCCAAGTCAATGGTGTATTCGACACAAAGCAATTGGGGAGAAATCTACTTCACACAGGTAATGATGTTTTACAGCACCCCTAAGAAGAACGTCAAATCACAACCAGTGGATCCTAACGGTAACAACGACTCAGGGTATGCGCCATCTAACCTTGAAGACACGATACGGGAGCACGTGTCGCCGCCAGGGTCCCCAGGATTGAAGGACGCCACGGTGCTGAAAAATATGGCGTGCGACGGCTCCAAGTGGAGGAAGAACGGGAAAGCTGCAAAAGTCATGACTGATTCTAGGTAGGAATTTTTATCCATGTATCTTACAGTATGTACGCGTAGGGACATAATATCAAATTCGCTACTTTACTCGTATTAGTATTTTAGATTCGATACTATTACTTAAACATCGATACTTGTATCCGATACTTTGAACCAATAAGACCCCCGAAATCATAGATTATATGTAGATATCGGTACTTACTCAAAACGATACATCTGTTTCGATACTTTAACTCATTAAATGATTTTGTTTTGATACCAATACTAAGTATCGAGTGTAGGGACACAGTATTGTCCACTAAGCAATTACTGCACGTGTGGTACGACGACGAGCGATTGACTCTGTCGCTCTTTAGATACTTTTGGTTTCGGTATCGTTTCTCTGAGTGCGCGATCTGAGTACAGTCGGAGTATGTGGTTGCGGAGCAACCATTATATGCATAATTATTATGTGTACCTATGTAATTCGAGCTATGTTTTCTCCCACTAGCGCATTCCTCAGAGCTGCACTCAGATAACGGGCGTACTGTTTGTTTGAAAAATTATTACATAAAATGGTAAGGCTTCCCTGATAAGTAAGCTTGTCTGCAGAATATGGATGTCTGCTCGTACTAATCTTGCATATGGCAAGCTTTTTTTCCGTCGGTAGGAAAAACAAGAATTTGGAAGTTTTCTATATTGATGTCACTTTGGCATTGGCGGTGCATTATTTACGTCTAAATAATTAGAGTATAGATTTGTAATGAGATATAGATGAAACTTGATAGCACAGTGGTTAGCACGTTCAGTCTATGAAAGTGGAAGTAAAACAACTTATTAATATCTCGTTCTTCTCAGTGCTTCAGAAGGCACGTGAAGCCGTTGGTCCTGGCTATATCTACAGTCGCTAGCAACCCCGCACTAAGGTTGCGTGGTAAGTCAGAGCCCATTCTGTCTATATCCTGTGTAGAACAGGGATTTACCCCAGCATTAGTATGTTATGTTTTACACCCGACGCAATGGGAATGAACACCCTCCGGAAAGCGGAGTAGGAAGGTAGAAAATGTTCAGTGCATACCCCACATCCAGATGCAGGGTTATGTCAGGCTCTTACTGGCTAAAAACTACCTGAGGAAGCTTCTAGCCGGGAAGGCTTTGTAAGCGACATCGGATACGATCACCCCTTGCGAAGGGATGATGATTATGAATAGGTTAATTACAATGCAAGAATCAAAGGCCACATAGGTAATTATACAACTCAATAATCTATACAATTTTATAGAAGTGTCTCGATGGCACTACATACTTCAGTCCATTCCGAAGATGATCACGAAGCGAGCCAGTATGACATCAGGGACGGGTCCACATCCAAGAAGGAACGGAAGGCAAGCGCGGCGACTGCTCGATTCACCATCTACAAGGCCAATAAAGCCAGCAAGAAGAAGAGGGAGAAGTCTTCGGCGAAGAAGGAGAGGAAGGCGACGAAGACGTTAGCTATTGTTTTAGGTAAGTGAATCACGATAGAGGAATAACTAATATTAAAAATTCAATTACAGCATATATTATTATTTATTTCTTTCTAAAAAATACTAAAATTTGTTTGCATTCAAATATTTGTATTTAGTTGTTTTTAGCAAGCACGTCAGTTCAGTCACGTACTTAAGGTGGATTTAAAATTTTATGGGAATAAATTTTCAAGTACATTTTTATTGATTGGTCTTATCCGATAGCTTGATAATCCCTGGTCTGTGTAGCCCTCCACTTTGTTTTTCATGGCCGTGTTGAGATATAGGATACTCTTATCCTTATATATATATAATAAAAATATATATATAATTTTAGTTCCTGAGGAATTCTCAAAAAAACTAAAGTTAACGCTTACGAATTATTATGTGGTTAAGTTACATGCCTATTTTCATCAATTAAAAAACCCTTTGACAACTTTCGGTGATGCATTATTTTTATATTGGTTTTTGTTGACAGGTGTATTTTTATTCTGCTGGGCGCCATTTTTCACATGCTCCGTCCTTGGCGCGATCTGCGATAAGTTCCAGCTGTCGTTCTCCCCTGGAGTCACCGCGTTTATCCTCACCACATGGTTGGGTTACATCAACTCCTTCCTCAACCCAGTCATCTACACAATCTTCAATCCCGAGTTTAGAAAGGCCTTCCGTAAGATACTCAAGTGTGGTACCTAGCCTTTGGACTATTTGGTCGTCTTTACGCAGTAGATCTCGATTTAAATTTGATTGTTATTTATGGTTTAACATTAAATGAATTTGAAGGTTTGCAATTCAAAAGCTTTTAAATGCACTAATGAATGTAAATGTTTTATAAGTTCTGTTGTATGTTTCAACAGAGTCTATTAAAATATTGGTCTTGTTCTCAGTCTATGGTTACTAATCATAGATTGACAACAAGACCAATCTTTATCTAATCGTTGATAGACATTAATGAGTGTAAAAATTGTTACAAATCTTACTGGACGCTCAGATGGTAAAAGGTTTTCGACCCAAAATTACTCCTTCAAAACGGAACTAATAACGTGTTTCAAAATGTATTTTAATAGTGTGATTTTAGTTAACCGAACTTATAATCGACAAAGGAACTTATAGTAAGTGCTTTCTGTTTTTAATTTAAATTTTATCAGGATGAGATCTACCGACGACCAAATATACGAAATTATAATTGTTTATGAACCTAAGAAGTATTATTGTATATGTGATAAATGACAAAGGTATGTCCTTTGTATTTTCGTAGAGTTAGAAATAATAGCATATCAACGTGTAGATAAAGAATACCAAAGTATATTACTTATAATGTATAGTCATAATGTTACATTATTCATTTCTATTTGAGCTTCTGTAAATAGATCACGAGTATTTTTAAAATGAATCAGTACTCATAATACAGGTGTGTAAAGAATTAATAAATGTTACTAATATCAAATGTGTTGCGATAAAAATGATTTCATGGTTGTGATTAATTTAACGTTTTATTGATAATAATTTATTGTTATTAGTTTTTTTTTGTTTTAATCTGCTCAAAAGTTCATTTAACCTATCAGTGTTTAACAATGATCTCAAATTGTATATGTACAATGTTTAAATTAATTCCAGTACACAAACTTTAGTGTATTAAAAACGATACTGCACTGCTGTGCTATTCTATAAAAACAATCTCATGTGAAATTCGCCGGTGTGATATAAAATTTATTTTTTAAATTCGGGTTCTAATTTTAAATAATACTGCGGATTCCAAGTTGAAATGTGAGTTTGTTCTTACAGAATCGCACTGCAGGCAACTGGTTTTAGTGAGATGTAAAACTTTACATATTTTTTTTAGTGTTTTTTTTCTTATGCAGTGCTTTATAAATGTGTAACTTGATTAGACATTCTCATTGGCTGTACCTTAATTTCAATAATGTGCTTGAATCCAGTGAACTTACAATAATTCTAAAAGTCGAATTTAATTAGAAGAAGGTCCTTTCAATAGGATTTTGAAACGTATGAACATTTGAACCTAATCATTGATTTAAAGCAAGTCATTGATTTGAACCAATTCCCAGTCATATACTTGAAGTTAATTTTTCTGCCTTTTTAGTTCTGAAAGGCACAAATATGCAGATAAGTGGCTTTGTTACACTCTTAGTTACATTTAATAAAATCTGAAATTTTATTAATATTATTGTATTATGTTATTCTTTTCACATTAATTTTTTTAACATTTGTGTAATTAAGCTTAATTATTATAGAAATAAAAAATGTAAATAGTTATATTAATAGGCACGAAACACCAATACACAACAAATATCAAATATTTGTATAAAAACAGTTATTTTAGATTTCTATAGGTGAAACTTTGCTCCATAAACATAATGATAGCATTGCATTCCACTACTTTTGTTACTTGTTAAGATATACTACGCTATCTGTTTTTAAAACATTATTATTAAGTTGTAAGACAAAGACATGAGGATTTCGATGGCGCAGGTGGTTGACGCGGTCGGCTGCGTTCGTTGAAGTTAAGCAACTTTCGCAGTGGTCGGTCATTGGATGGTTGACAAAAAAAACTTCTATCTCGAGTTCCTCCGTGCTTCGGAAGGCACGTAAAGCCGTTAGTCCAGGCTGCATCTGTAGTCGTTAGCACCCTCCGATCCGCACTGGGCCCGCGTGGTGGGTCATGGCCCAATCTCCCTATACCATCCATAGGGAAGGCCTGTGCTCCAGCAGTGGGGACATTAATAGGCTGATGATGATGATGATGAAGACATAGTCATAGAAGCTGTGTTTGTCTTACAACTTAATACTCGCTAATATAACTTATCTGCGTTTAAATTGACAATCCACTTCTTTGAGCGTGTGTTTGATTGACTGGTTTAAATAGACCGTTCATTGGGATACATAATGCTATGTATTTCAATATACCCAGGGAGTTCACCACCAATTAAATGGTTCTACAATTTGCCTGATTACGTAGGCTCTTGGGATGTATCCATACCGATTTTACATCCAATTAGTACCAATTTGCGGATCAGTATTATAGAAGCATATGAAACTCTTCAAAACGGTGGCAACAATCCAAATATTAGACGATTTATTATCTAGAATGGCGTGTCATAATGTTTTTAAAGCAATGGTTATTTTGAATTGTATTAATTCTTAATACAATTCCAAATAACCATTATTATAATTATTATTAAGTAATATTAAAAAATATCGTGATATTTGTTAAATTTGATCTCATCACGCAATCACGCGCAGAACTTAACATATGAAATGATAAAAACACAAAAAATCTCTTTAAAGTAATAAATCATCCTATTATTTTTTATGGCTATACAACAAAATGTCTTTGGTCTTCACCGCTGGAATATAAAAATAAATATTGGTAGAGGCCGAGTGAAATTAGTGCACCTAAGTACTATCCAAATATCAAAATATATAGTTTTAGTGAAATAAATATATAAAAATGTATGTAATGTCGTAATGAGACAAGCTGCACAGCGTGATTTGAATAAGGTAGTTGTAATTATTCGCCAAATTGTAGTTTCGACCATATCAAGGGTGAGAACTGTATCATAATGTTTTCTTGTTAGATTTAATGTTATCGCAATGTCAAACATAATTGACGTCGATGATCTTCCAATAAGTAACAGATAAGGCTGCATGCACACATACAGCGGAAAGACACCCAAAGCTAAAAAATATCCCAAAGTAAATCATTGTAAGAATGTTTTGAAGTCATCAAAATGGTTGCAACACTTCGCGATCGCATGGTTCGTTTCGAGTTACGGCCTCACTCAGAGAAGCAAATCAACATAAGTTTGACTAAAGTTCATGCAGTCACTTTCTTTACAACAGCAATATAATGAGACAACACTTGACTTAATGAATGAGCTCTGTGTTCCATCTTGTCTTTTCACTGATAGACTTTCACCAAAGTAGAACTATTGCGAGATTTGATTTTTTCGATTACTATAAACATAAACACACATCTTTATATTGAAGCCTTCACCACTTTGGACCGAAGACCGATTTGTGATGGGTGCAATTGCGACCAAATTGCAATACAACTACAACCGAATTGCAATAAGCTGTAAACTCTAAAATCACAGACTCTGTTGTGAACCATTATAGCAATAAGTAATAGCAACTCGGTTGCAACGTGGTCGCAAGTTGCTTTTACTATTGCTTTCACAATAGCTGTCTAACGGGGTAAGTAGGTACCTATGCTTTGTATTTCTAACAGTCGAATTTCTTCAAATAAAGTATTCAAAAATATCACACTTCTTTATAAAGCACTTTAAAGTTTTAAAGCATAATTATGCTATATTTTGATCACCGATAGAGTGCGGTTATTACATTATAAAATTACAAAGTTGTTAAAAATTCTCTACCTTTAAAAATACTTTCGTACCTTAAAAGGTCCCTTGCACAAGAAGAGAGTTCATTTAAATTAATAGGTACAGTGTATAAAAGCACCAGGCGTTCAATAAAATACTGTCAAAATCACCATATGATGCAATAATAAATCACTCTCATTTTAGATTAAAATTATGTTAGGTTTATCAAAACTAAATTTGATTACTCACTACCTACTTACCTAATTCTGTGATCATTATTTTTGTTTTGCTCAAACAAATGACTGTGTGCATGAAAACTGACATTATCTATAGCTATGTGTATGCTACAATAATTTTCATTGCTCAATAAAATCTGTTATAATTGTTTAAATTTAACTGATATTGTATCGAAACAATAATAATTATATTAAACTACTATGTCTATATGTCATGGCGTAATATTGTTATTGTATATCTGTAAATAAATTAATGCGAAATAAAACAGGGTTCCTGGCCAGAATCCAAGTAAATTAATATTTATTTTAATCATAGATACAAATGACTTTATTAAAGTTTTATCAAATGTATATGTATAATTAATGTACATAATTTAAATAGAATTATTTGTTAAAGCAAAGTTTTCTGGCTTTATAGGAAATTATTATATTAGTACACGCATGTATTAACTTAATAGTGATAAAATATAATATTTAAAAATAAATTTAGAGCAAATAACGATTTAATCAGTATTTAACTAAAAGTTGTATGTATTAAAAATAAATATAAAGAGCCAAAGAAAATGTAAAATGTCCTCACCTTTATTTAATATGTCTGTTTTGTACATATTGCAATAAGTCAGTCTATAGTTATTTATATATTATAAATAGTTGATTGTTTCTATCATTTTTTTTTTATGTTGACTTCGTAATATCATTAAATACTATTAGTCACGAGTAAATTAGGTAGCTATCTCACACATATTCAATGTTATTGACCACATAAACAGAAATCAGCAATAATTTCAAATGTTCAATTGCATTTATTACATTCGTGACTAATTGTTTATTTAATATATCTGTATACGTTGCGTAGTTTTTAAAATATGTTAGTAAGGTAGTGTTTTAACTTTCTATGCGAAATTGTGATGATGATTTAAAATATTCTGTTTTTAAGATATTGTTTTATTTCCCCCTCTAAAATATCTTTTTACAAAGAGTAAAGTAGTAGCAAAAGAATAAATAAATAAGCTATATACAATTCGTAAAAAAGATCACTAACATCCCCGTGGTTATAGCAAGTCACTTTTGCTTCACATTCTAAGTCAATCAGAATCCAATACCCAATCTAAACTATTACTCTTTCCGATTGACTGATCAAACTGTCTGATCGTATTTATTCGGTTCACGTCCAATTATTTTGTCAGGTAGTTTTTGTACGTAGTGCCCTAGCTATCATTTGAAGTACTGGCAAACGGAACATGTTTTTTTATTTAAATATCAGCCTACCACATCCACCTGATGTAAAGTATAAGTGGGATCCAGTAGCAGTCTGGTGTGGCATTTATGAATATATGTTGATCACTTTACTGGTGTTGTTGGACCCTAAAAATATTAAGGGTCCAACATCAGCCGGATGACTCTATAGGATCAAACTATATAAATGAAATGAAAAGAAATAAAATATATAAGATTTTATGACACTTAAGTGTATATAATAAATAAATAATAAATCTTACTTGTAGTCGTGGACTAAGGCGTCGTCTTAATTGGCCACGATTGTACGATGACATGATGCGATATCGTCGTGCGACGAAAATAATGCGTAAAAATTCTATCGATTGCAATTGCGTTTAAAAGATTTAACCTGTGATTTAAAACATCATACGACAGTTATAAAACAATGTCTGTGCTCGCGAGCGACGGCTTACGTGCTGTAACTCTGAAGAAATCTGTATGTTGTAACTCATCGCATGACGGTAACGAACCATGTCATCATGTGAATGTTCTGATTCTTCAGATTCGGTCTGGGAAAGCAACCTCCACCTTACTGTAGACCATAGCAAAATTAAATTTTGGTAAATTTCTAGATACCTCACTTATTGCAATACAAGAAAATGCATTTTTTTAAGAAATTCTTATAAAAGCAAAAATCTCACTCATTCCTGGTTACTATGCTTGAATTCACCCAATAATTATGTTGCTATCTGATAGAATATTATTGTAAAGAAATGATTGTGCTACCGGCTTTGGTACCGGTATGAATGAGTCAGATTTCGTGTAGTATTTCTGAGTGCAAAGCTACGCTATAACCACTACTCAAATAGGTAGTTTCAATAAGAAATCAGTAAATATTTACCAAAAAAGAATCCGTTGTCTCAATCTAGGTCATAATTAATGATAATGTGTACCAATAATTTCATCGAAATCTTATCATCTCTTTTTGCGTGATTGAGTGACAAACAACAAACATACAAACTTTCACATTTATAAAGTAATATAGTAGGATAGGAGGAAAACCAACCAACCAATAAAATATACATTAAAACGGGTAAAACTGCAGAAGTATCAGTCATAGCATAAGAATCTCAATATTAGTATTTTTGAACGCACTATAATACAATAACGCACCTATGGGAGCCTAATGCTGCAATAAACTTTACAATTTTACTTTGCATTCAGAGTTTGGTAAGGTTGTTATCACACTGGCGCTTTGTGAGTGAATTTAAAGTGATACACGTGCACAGCAAACCCGCATAGGTACGCAGCGAGCTCGCAGCCTAGGCAGCGTACGATCCATGTTTTTATAAATTATCTGTAACAGAATGTTGGCATCGTTTCTTCAAAGACGCAGGAAACGAAAAGGTAACCAAATACAATGACGATTTTTTGTAACGGGCTGTTGAACACTAGTGTATAAATGGCGTCGATCACGTCGCTTTAGACTCGCTCGCAAATCGCTAGTGTGGTGTATCATTTTGCTAGGCAAAAAAAATATTTTGACTTCGTTTGCCCTCCAAGTCTCAATGATATAAAACTTATCCATACCAAATTTCAAGATAATTGGATAACATTATAGTCCAGTCAATGAAGGTTTTCACCTCCGATTTCGTTGAATATCCATCGATTTTCATGAAAATTGATGAGTAGGTGGGGGATACCTTAAGAAACAAAAGTGACATATTGCCAACTTGCGCTTTTGCCCTGTGGGTAGATGCCACCCCTTCTCGGGGGTGAAAATTATTTTAATAAAAACAACTCCAGGAATCGATAGTGAAACAGATTCTAAGCAAAATTTGTTATATAAAGTTTTTAGATTGAAAAACCGCTTTAAAACATGTATTTTTATCACGAAAATTACCAACCAAACCAAATCTTTAATAACTCAGAAAGTATTGATTCATTCCAAAATTTTTGTATAACAAATTTTGCTTAGAATTTATTTTTTTGTCAATTTTTCGAGTTATTTTATTCAAATCATTTTCATCCCCCGGGAAGAGGTGGCATCTACTCCCAGGGCAAAAGCGCAAGTTGGCACTATGTCACTTTTGTTTTTTAAGGTATCCTCTACCTACTCACCAATTTTCATGGAAATCGATAGAGGTTCAACGAAATCGGAGCTCGTAACTGATTTTTGCCTTCATTGACTGGACTATTAAGAGGTTGCAAAGATTGATCACTTTTGAAAAAATAACAGTACGACGAGATTTTACATTTTTATAAAAAAACAATCACAAACATAAAAGCTAATTTAAAAACCAATTGAAATAAGACCGCATCACAGTCGTGCTTGGTTACTTTTTTCTAATTTTGATGATTTCTAACAGCCACATAGTTTTTAATTGAATCGTCAGAGTATTCAGTCACGTCACATACACAATCAATCCTAAACAATTCAAAAACGTCTTACTTTTAGTAGAAACGAAAAGGCTCAGGTCAATTCCTTCAATAGTTAGGTTTTGTCCCCGTTCCTTTAAATTCTGTTTTATTGGCATCTTTAAAATTTTATCATATTTTTATTGACATCCTGAACAACATGTTTAGCTAAAAAAGGATATCCTACTTTTGTTTCTGTTTGACAAAAATATCAATATTGTAAGTTTGTTTTATTGTTTGGCAACTGCAAGAGCATTTTGTTTGACTTTGGTATCGAGATAAGTGCTCAGAAGCTATATAGTACTTCCAAATAATTCTTTGGAGCCCTTCGACTAACATTGCTTAATTGTTATAACTTTCAAGTCTTCTCTTGGGAAACTTCCATTTTTCAGGATGGATTTCGAATGTAGTAAACTCCTGTCGCTCGTTTCGCATCAAGCAACCCATTAACTGGATTGTCATCATCCTGTTAATTATCGTATATTACTTTTTAGCAAGTAAATTAAACATACTTTGAAACTTCCTGAAAAAAGGGTTGGCAGGTCCTCTCAATGGTTATTTCCATTACTTCAAGATGGAAAAAAAACAGAAAACACACTAAATCTTCAAAAATCGGAGAAACAAATGACAACGTTTTGAGCTATTGAGAAATGTTCTATGTAAGATGGTAGGGATAAATTTTAGATTCAAATCTCGCTTTTTTATACTGAAACGGTTGTTTCATTCGCTTAAAAATTAAACTTCCGTTTTAGAACTCTAAAATATACATTATTACAAAATATTTAAGTATAACGTATTTCACTATTGCGAGAAAAAAGTGGCCAACATGTGCAACCTTCAACTATTCTTCGATCTTCATGAAATTGGCTTATATGTCTTTTGTACATTCATTCTTGGCGTTCGTGGATTATGAAAAAGCTTTCGATACGATCTTAATCGTAACGACTGTACAGTCTCTCCAATGATGCCAAGTAGACTACAGGTATGTCGAGGTATTAAGGTACCTTTACAAAAACGCCACTATGTCAATCCGACTACAGAACCAGAGCTCTAATCCTATCCAATTGAAGCGAGGTGTGAGACAGGGAGATGTGATATCTCCGAAACTGTTAACAGCTGCAATGGAGGATATTTTCAAGCTTCTGGGTTGGAAAGGACGAGGCATTAACGTTAATGGCGAGACCTGTCGCACCTTCGTTTCGCCGATGATGTAGTTCTTATGGCTGAAACCTTGGAAGATCTTAACACGATGCACGAAGATCTTAGTAGAGCTTCCCAAAAAGTGGGTCTTAAGATAAACATGGATATGACGAAAATTATGTCGAATGCCTATGTAGTATGCCTGCTTCAGCTAAAATTGGAAACACTACATTGAAGTTGCCGACTGTTATGTTAAGCTGGGGCAGACAGTCCAGTTAGGTAAGTCCAACTTTCAGCTCGGATGGGCAGCGTCCGGGAAGCTACGGAAAGTCTTCGCGTCCAAATTACCTCAGTGTCTCAAGACAAAAGTCTTTGACCAGTGTGTATTGCCAGTGATGACCTACGGAAGCGGGACGTGGTTCTTTACTGCGAGTCTCATAAGAAAGCTCAAGGTCACACAGCGAGCAATGGAGAGAGCGATGCTCGGTGTTTCCCTACGCGATTGAATCAGAAATGAGGAAATCCGTAGGAGAACCAAAGTAACCGATATCGCTCGAACGATTGCTCTGCTGAAGTGGCCGTGGGCGGGACATGTAGCAAGAAGAACGTTGGCCGTTGGGGCGGAAAGGTTCTGGAATGGCGACCACGCACGCGCTCAGTGGGCAGGCCCCCTACAAGGTGGACCGACGATCTTGTGAAGGTCACGGGAAGCCGATGGATGCGAGTGGCGCAGGACCGATCGGTGTGGAGATCCTTGGGGGAGGCCTATGATCAGCAGTGGGCGTCGTACGGCTGACATGATGAATATTAAGTTTAAAAGTAAGTAAGTTAAGTAATAATAAAAATACTATATGAAATTAGAATATTTTATTACCATAATTTTGTTACCTGATCAAATAAAATAGCCACCCACAGGCTTGGCTTCACCAATATGATAAGTGCAGAAAAAACCTTTAAAGTATAGACAAGAATAAGAAAAATATTACTTACCTCCCAAATAGCTGAAACTTTGTCTAAATTATGAAAAATATTTTTTTACTATTAAAAGTACGCGAATACGCCGAGTGCACACGGGCGTCTGAAACTGATCAATCGGATAACCAACAAAGAACAACCCAGAGTCGCAGAGAAGGTGATGGGAATCGAGGCTCTCTGATTAG